TCCTCCTCCTCCTCCTCCTCCTCCTCCTCCTCCTCCTCCTCCTCCTCCTCTCTCTCTCTCTCTCTCTCTCTTTCTCTCTCTTCACCGATTACAGCTCGAGTTCCCTCTCGAGAGAACGCGATCAACCAACCTTCCCCACGTTAATCCCTTCGTTTCATTTTTTTTACCGGTCGCGCTTTTACTGTCCCTTTTTTTTCGTCACCGCCGCTAGGCGAACCGTTTCTCGCCCACTCGCCACGATTTCTCTTTCTCGTCCCGCTTTGTCTACATTTCCAGGTAAATCCTTTATCTCCCGTTTATTGTTATCCGCGAAGATATACGGGCGATCGACGACGGCGGTGATCCGAAAGATAATTTCCACTTGCGGTTTCCTCTGGTGAACAATTTATGCGCGATAAATATGAAGGGCGAGAGAGCGATAATATCGCTATTCGTTGCGGAGCGTTTCGTGCCAATTCGCGCTCATTACCGTGGCGGTGCTGGCGCACGCAAACCTTATCTGGCGGTCTTATCAGCGCGCGGCGTATACCACTTTCACTGCATCGGGGCGGCACGGGCCAAATTCTTCGAGTGCGCTCCAACGGGCGCTGCTGCGCCCGTTCTATTTCTCCCTCGCAGAGAACCTTAATCTGCATTGCGGCAGTCGCGATAGAATGCGGATAGAGCAAAAGCGCATAGTTGAGATACTCTCCTTTTTCGCGAATATCCAAGCGAAAGGGAACGTAATATTTATGGTGGATCGCGTCCCGTTTATTTCAGCGCGCGAGCAAACGTAAAAAAGATTGACTGAAAATATAAACAAAGCGAGAAATAATCGAATAGTCGAGACACTCTCGAGACTCGTGCTTCTCGTTGATATTGAAATGAGAGAGAGAGAGAGAGAAAATAAATATATTCGCGGTGGATCCCATAAATTTGATCCGCTTTATCTCGCGCATTTTCGCACGCCTTCGACGCGAGATCGTAAAAAAGATTGACTGAGAATAAACAACGGGGCGGAAAATAATCGGATGATGTTGCATAACTTACTGAAATCACCGGGACAAGATTTGCAGCATCGACCCGGGATCAGAACTGGTTCGTCGCACGTGAGTTTCGGGCATTCGTTCTTGATGTTGCGGCATTGAACTCTCGCGATGATGCGCCGTTTCTTTTGCACCTGAAAGCAGAAGCGATAAACCGCTGATGAAAACGGCGAACCACCGCGCCCCGCTCTGTCGAGCTGCGTCTTCCTCGACGATGATTCGCTCAGGACAAAAGCGCACGAGATATTCTCCCTCCTGCAAGTATTTCTCTGGGATTCTCCGCTTCGAGTTTTCGCCACCTCTATATTTCACTCTATCCTCATCTCTTTATTTAGTTCGCGTTACGTTCGGTCGCGCAACGACGCGATGAACACAAAGTGATACAAGAAGGAGGCAAGCGCGCGGGACAAGCGCGATGCAGTTGCTAAAATCATGACGCAGTTCGTTTTACGGGGAAGAATCAAGTCGAGGATTTTATAGAGCCGCGGCATTCCTGCGGCATGAAACGCGACGTTCGACGTTCCGACTCGACCTGGAGAAAAAGAAGTGACCGCGATCGGCAGGACAGCTTCGAGATTCGCGAGCGTTAAACTCGGAAAATTGCAGGGAGCATCGCGAGGGACCGCTGCAAAAGTAAATTTGGAATTTCGAACGTCGTCGCAGCGCTCGTGGCGCGCGATAAAGAATCGCGAACGCGTCGGATACGGCGATTCGTGTTAACTCTCAAGTCCCGATCGACATTCGATTCTACGAAGATTCGTATTGTTAACGCGCTTCTTAGGATCATAGTCGAGTGTCGAACTTTTTTTCATCTCGCAAAGTCCAGCGGAGATGTGCGCGTCGCGTCCGAGACGCGGCCGACAAGACGCGACATTACTTTAGGCGAAGAGACATGGCTTCTCCTCTCGACGTGTGATTCACGCGACGCGTCTGCTTCTTCCACAGGCAAGACCGCGCGCGACCTATCAATAGCTCCTCATGTACACTGAAGAGGGACTGTCATTCCTTCGAAGTCTAAAAATAGTAGGCCGCGCTCGCCGCTCAACACGTCCACGAGCCGAACATAACAGCGCACCGTCGCCGTCGCCGCCGCCGCGTCTCTCGCTCTCTCGCCGTCTCTGTTCCATCCATCTTTTCAGTCGATCGCGATATATCTTTGAAGGAAGAAGGATTTCAACCCGGGTGAGAGAGTGTGTCGCGCGCCTTCAGCGCGCTCGCTCTTGCAGAATCTAGCTCGAAGCTCATCGGAATAAATCTCGCATTTTCTTCTGCGAAAATCCGAATTGTTTCAATCAAAAATACCGTCTCTTTCCTCACAATTGTTTCTGCAGAGTGTCTCAAATCTTAGAAAAAAAAAAAAATTGGAGGCAAATACAAAATAATTTTTTTACATAAAAAATAAATTTAAATAAATTAAAATAAATTTGTTTCGAATTTATTCAGAAATTAATTGTAAGAGCCTCGAGTTTTAAATATCAAATTCGAAAAAAAATACTGAAAAGAAGTGAACAGCTAATCCGTCAACCGCGAGATAAAAGCAAAATTTTTGCAAAGAGACACTTTGAGAGGAATTTTCCAAGAAAATTGTCTGAGAATTCCCCGATTTCTACAACATAATAATTCTCTTGATAATTCCAAACAGATTTTTACAGACAGCAGATAATTTATTCTGTTATTATTATATCGAGAAAAATTGAACTTCGCGGCGTCTACGGATTTCTCAGCCTACAGTGACTTTAATAGCGTCGCGCATAACGATCGTAGTGACCGTGTAATTAATTTTCTTCTCTTGCTAAACTCATCAGATAGTTTCTTTCTTTCATTAACATTTATGATTATTTATCGCGCGCTTAATGCACGTATAAAAATTCCTGAACATTTCCACGTAAGATTTAATAATGGCGCGCGCGAAATTTCCATATTTCGAATGAATACTTACAACGGTTTATTTTCATGTTAATTTTGACACTTTCGATTTCAATTTAATTTTATGACCCATACATTCTTGTGTGCAAAAACGTACAGAAATAAATGCAAGGAAGAGATGTAGGCGGGATATTCCGGATAATAGAAGACACATCTTATGAGGAAAACATTCCGAAATTTATGCGTGCGCTAAACGGCGATAAAGCGTGCGATAAATAATCGGTAAATAATGCTAATGAAATGCTATCTGATGAGCCTACCGAGTGGAGAAAATTAATTATGCGGTCACAAAGAGAAGTGTGCGATCGTACATTATATTCACACATAAAATAAATGTTTTTTTTCTTGTATTTACAAGCGACGTTGGTGTCCCGGCGCGAATGTTAATGCACGATTACACCTCTGTAAAGCTCTCGAGCGACGAACAATCGAGTTATCGTTTACTGCATGTAAATGCGAGATGAAGAAGAGAGAAAAAAAAAGAATTTAGCATTGCGCGTTGCTCGCGTCGCATTGTAACGAGGGCACGTATACACGTGGAATACAAATGACGATTATATTGCGCGATCGAGTAAACATTCGTGCGCATTTTCGTGACGCAAATGCTCGCCGACTTAACTTCCCTCACGTTTGCCCGGAGCGGCCTCCGAGCGACGGTTGAATCTGGTGTTTCGACATTTGATATGTTACCTTTATGTCAATATCGCGGTATTTGCCGGCCCAAGACGCTAAATTACACGCTACACGCAACGAACAAGGCACCGTAATTATAAGAATATATGACGTTCTTTTATCGCCGCGCGCACATAGCAACGCATAGAAATTTATTCTGATAGAAATTAATCCTATCTCTATTTTGTACAAGTTTAACAGTGCCACAGCTGTATCGATGTCAGACATCAACTGGTTCGATTGGAAAAAAAATAACAGCACTGAAAGCGAATTTTAATAAGTATCTGAACGTGATTGTAACTTATTTCTCAACAACAAATGCGAAGGTAAATACATATAAAAGCTATAATACATACCGGTATGCACTCGCACTTGATGCAATACATGACTCCGAAAGGCGGTCCCAAATCCGCAAACCATGTCGTGCCGAGTTCGCGGATCTGCTTGCCAAAGATGCATTCTGAAACAAAGAAAAAACAATTGGTATTAAATCGCAAATTTTTCGATTTTCCAGGTATTTTTATTCCAATTTCGAGGAAAAATTACAAAATTTTGGAATGCAAATTTTGAGTGAATTGATTTGTTGCGTGGAATTTTCAGCGTTTTTTTACTCTGAACACTTTTATATTTCAAAATAAATGATTATCTGAATAAAATATCGCTTAACTGCCAACTCAGCCGACCAGCTGACTTCTGGCCGTTCGCAAAAAGCAAAATTATCAAAGAGATACAATTTCAACAAAAATTCTCCTAAAACAAAAGACCAAATAAAATACCCTGAAAATTTCTTGAATTTTCCAGACAAGAACAGTTGCCGTCTGGAAATTCCAAGTTTTTCTAGTTGTTAAGCGTACTACATTAACATAAATTATGTTAACAAATTTAAACACCGTCTTATTAATAATTTATCGATTATCCATTGACGGAACGGATTCATTGATTGAACAAATTCATTCATTAAATAAATGTGTATTTTGCAGTTCACGTATTACTGGAAAAAAAAGGGGAGATATATTCTAGGTGCGAACACACTTGTCTGCTCTTCGCTGACGCACTTCCGTTGCCATCATCGACGAATGAGGCGCAATTTGACGCGAGTATAACGTAATGCGCTCGGTATGTACATCAGTCGCATATTCATTCGTATTCATCGATAATATGCGTTGCGCGTTCATTCAAACCTTCGAGTGAGACACTGCAAGCGCGGCGTGTTTTATCTCTTGTCAGATGCAAAACTCGCTGTGTTTACGAGTATAAATATACCGTGTATGTACAATTAGCTAATCGATGTTGATCGATGGCGCAGCAGACAAGTTTCCGGCTCGCTTTAAATCCCTGACGAATTGCTTTCGCAATAACTGCGAAGTGTGGAAATGTCGAGGGAAAAAATCATGACCGAAGACTTGTACAATATTGCTCAGCAAAAACGCGATAAAAAATATTAAATTAATAGCGCTATGTACACGCGGTCTTTCCGTCTGGTTAGGCTCGTCTTTTTTTTCACCGGTAAAAACAAAATGAAAGAGAAACGATTGAAAGCTATATAATTGCTTTACGTCGACCGTCCTTTCCTTTCCGCGTAAAAATAAATGCGTGGAAGCACCCCGAAAATAACGCAATGGGAATCGCTCTCATCGCGTATTACGCGCGCGTATATTTCGCAGTATTCTTATTTCTGCCGAGCGCTACTACAGCGTCGCTTTTTTTTTCTCTCTTCGCCCATAGCTGCATTCGGTCTGAGATCAGTGGAACTGCATCAAGGTTGTTTATAAGGACGCTTTCATACGAAGCGCACACACCTCGTTTCAAAGTCAACAGATATTCTTAATGCCTTCGAAAAAGAAAAATCGACAGCAGAAAATCATTTCCATCGCGTAACTCTTTAAAATGGAACAACTTTTGCCTTTTCTTATGCCGCGGATGTCAAATAAAAAGAATTAACAGAGAAATAAAGTGTGTCCGCGGAGAAAGAGAAAAAGAAGGTCGATTGCGAAGAAAGGTATGGTAGATTTGTCAACGGGAATTATTCCGCGCTCGTCAAAAATTACAAAGAGAGAGAGATAATTCGGTCAAAATATAAGTGGGAGAAAGGGAAATGGAGAGAGAGAGAGAGAGAGAGAGAGAGAGAGAGAGAGAGAGGCTCGTTTTGCACGGGGTCATTGCACCGCGCGCGCTAAGTCGTTCTCTAAGCGCAAAGTCGCGGCCCTAAGTAACTAGGAGTCCGAGAGAGTCACGGCGCAGGCTAACTGCATCGAAAATATGCGAGTCACGCGGCATAGAGCGCGGTAAGGTAAATCGTGTTAACTCTCTCCTTCTCTTGCTCTTTCTCCAGCATTCCCGATAGCGATGATTCGCCCGGCTTTTCTTCCGCTCCCCTAGCATCGCTTGCGGCTCTCTCACGCGCAACGATACACACGTGCGACACATCTCTGCACATATTTCCGCCTCTAACGGAGCCTCTCAAGAGCGACTTTCTGAATTGGTTAATCCACGAAAATGTTTCCGCGGAGTTTAAGTAATTAGCGAAAAAAAGAAGAATCTCTTCACAACAACAAGTACAACTTGATACAACACGATATCTTCTTTAATTTATTTCGAGTGGATTTCACTTTTATAGAATTTAAGACATAGTTATAAAAAAATGCAGATTTTGGAAAAACGCAGAGTGAAGAATCTTCAATGTTCTCGTGGAGAATCGATCCTAAATTTCGCTTTGAGATTTCGCTCTGAAGAGATGTTCTGTTGTTAGCGAAATACTGTGTAAATAGAACGTGTGTCACTGCCTTCACGATTTCAACTCTGTATACGAAACGCATGATTAGCGGTGGAGCTTGAAAATTAATAGCGGCGCGCTTCGTGAGATCTTACGCCATGTACTCGCAACTCATTCGCGGGTACGCGGCTTGCCAACAGACGAATAATTTCTCTTCTTTGTCCACGTATACACATCATTATATCATCCGCCCGTGCGCGCACCGAACGAGGACGGTTAGCCATTAATTGCTATCGCGTCAAACGTGAAAGCTAATGTATATTCCGAATATTATATTCGGACGAGTATCTATTACAAACGCGTATCTGCAAACACGTTCCCATTATTCGCCATCACCATTCGCAGGCTACTCTCGAACGATATTTACCGACGATAATGGCTGCAATTTGTCAAGAATATTAATCGGCGATCATCCTTCGCGGGCGAATTCGTGCCGCGTCAAGCGAGATGAGACGAGACGCGATATTTAGATCGCGAGGCGCGCTTAAAGCGCCGATTTTACGAGCCGATCGAGAGAGAGAGAGACGGAGTTTTCGCATCAACGCGACGGACTTTCATTACGATGCCATGAGTACGTCTTCGCTCGGCTAATATAAATAACGCGAGCGCGGAAAAGAGCGCGCGATCGAGATCTCCGTAATCCGCTGAGCGCTGTTAAGCGAATGGCAAACACGTGCTACCTTTCGTTCCTTTTTTTTTCTCTTCGCTTTTCCACCCCTCTCGTTTCCGCATCCCTCTCGGATAGATTTACGAACGCGTGACGTCCATCCGCTTGCGTTCTCTTTCGCCCGCCGCGTCTCTTTCTCTCGCTCCTTCGCTCGGCATCTACCGGCATCTCGTCTCGAGTTTCACATCACCTTTAGCATCGCGCACGCTCTTACGTCCGCGTCGTGACATCGCGACGCGAAAACGCTGCACGAGACACGTCGGTCCCATCCCGCGTCGTGGCGCGGGTGGCGGAGAAATGAGAAAGCGTGACGAAAACAACGGGCACGATTTCCGCGTACGATTCGAGAACCAAGTACCTTTTCTATCGACAGCTCGTGACGTCTGTACAGTTAGCCGGTTTGAAAAATATCGGCCGTTATTTGTTCTCTGCCAGGATAATCAAGATGACTCCCCCCCCCCCTTCCTCTTTCTATTAATAAAAATATGACGTCACAGTCACAACTGACGATAAATTCAGTGACGAGCTGCCGTGGCGCGGCGACGCGTCAATGCGAGATCGATATCTACACAGCGCTCTATAATTGCACCAGATTCTCGGAGGTATTAAGCGCAATCGTCACGTCACGTGCCATCATGCGCGTCACGGATGTCGCCTTACGTAACGGCCGTCCGGTCCGTGAAGCGACCGTGAAGCGACTTCGTCTAGACCGAGAGAGACGGAAGCCCTTACCTTCGTAAGGTACATATCTCGCCGTCGGAGCCACGTTCGAGCGCCACTTTCTCGAGGAGATACCGAATCCTCCTCCTCGTCGTCGTCGTCGTCGCCGCCGCCGCCGCCGCCTCGTCGCGCCGCGCCGACTCTCGGGGACATTTTAGCGTCTCCGCTAAAAGCGGGCAGACACGTAGGCGATGTACGGTGTCGTCCGATTGTTTATGTATGCGTGAAACGTCCCGCGCGCGCGAGCTGATACCTGTCGGCGCGCAGATTTACGTGGGCGACACGAGTACGCGGACGCATCATTCAGTTGTGTATTTTCTTTCTCCTTTTTCCTTTTGTACCTTAAACCGTATTTTGTTACGTTACTGAATTTCATTTTGAGTTTACTTCATCCGCGATCTCGTCCCCGAATTCGCGAGTTCGAAAAGGGCTTTCGAGTGAAACACATTTCTTGTGTATTTGTTGTTACAATTTGTCTCCCTTAGAAACGTTATTATACACGCGACGCGAAGAAACTCGCAGATCTAACAACAGAAATATCCGCACCGATCTCGATGTCGGAATATCATTTCGACTGTGAAGGAAACTTGGACTTTTCACCGTAAAAGTTTGGACTTGTTTCTCTACATACTTTTCTATTACGTCACAAATTAATCGTTGTCAGCAATTCAAATGCATTCCTTTTCAACAATGCATTTTTATTTATCCACTTCTTACTCTTATCTACGTATTTTGATGTGAGTTTGAGGAAGCGCAGGCGTTATATCATTTTATACGACTTACGTAAGACGGAAATATATTTTGACGATTTTTTTTTCTACTCGACTCGACGCCTCGATGCTGCCATACGTTTATGCGCACATAAACCGTTCCCGTTGGACATATATCCCCGTATATGTCCGTATACACCTACGTGATGTCACGCACGGCTCAGAAATGCCGACCTTGCGCCCGCAGCTTAAGTCAGTGCACGCGTAATGCGATGCATTCACGTTCGCCAAGCCTTTCGGCCAATCCCTCCGTTCGGTCGCGCGACGGCCGCGCTGATAAGAGACGGCTGTGGCGGCGGCGGCGACGACGGGCGGCGTATCTGCGACGCGCGGAATACGTGTATGCACGTGTGTACGCCCGCGATATGTAAATACAGCAACGACGTGAGACGAAATATCAGCTAAGACCCACATTAGACAAACGCGGCATCGTTTCTTCCTTCCGCGCGAAAAATATCAATTAGTCCGCGTTCGTAAGGAATGTATTCTTTCCCCCCTCGACGCTATTGGAAAAAGAAAACGTACGGTGC